AGAGCCCGGATCTCCACAAAAAAAAGCCGGAGGAAGCTAGTTGCTCCCAAAACAGAGCAGCGTTTGGAGCGAGCTCGGCAACAAGCATCCAGAGGACAGGAGCGAAGCTTGGTCCAAATGATAAGGCAAGAACAAGTAAAGAGGCAGAAGCTAAAGCTGGCCAGATGCCAGACCCAAACCCTGCAGCCAAAACACGGCTGAGAAGCAGGGGGAGGGGCGAGATACCAAAGGGGCTGCTGCTGGAAGTGCGTCTGCCAGAGAGTGGCTTGCATATAGCATTCAGGACCCGGCGAAGGCAAGGGTTGCGGAGAGACGACGCGCCGCATACCTATTGAGGTTAGTGGAGGTGCAACCGCCAACCAAAGAGGGGCTAACCAAGGAGCTCCAAGCATCGATTGGCTGCGCGAGAGCAGTCATACCCAATTTTAAGCTGGCACCTCCAGTACAGGCTGCAAAAGACTAAGCCGTCAGCAAAACGACCGAAAACAAAGGGCGTGACGCCCGCAAAATCATTTGCAGAAATGGCCCGGAGCCGAATTGTCATTGGCGTTCTAGATGAGGGGAACCCCGAAGGAAGGATCCCCAGAGCCCAATGGAAATGGGTGCAGGCTGCGCTGACAAGTGTGGCGCTGGAAGTGCTACTTAGCAATCCAAGTCCGCCACCGGCATGCACAGATACCGGCTGGTACCAGGGCCAGATTAAAATGATTGCATGCGATGATGAAAGATCGGTCGCACTATACAAAGCTGCTATAGCCAAGGTAGGGAAGGTATCCGGCGCAAAACTGGTAGCAGTAGATAAAACAGACATACCATCCAGACCAAGAGCAAGGGTATGGATCCCGGCTAGACCATCACAGCGGGATCAGATTATGCAGCTCATAAGAGTCTGCAACCCGAGTCTGCCTACATAGGGGTGGAAGTTCGTCAAGGCATTTGACGATAGCGTAGCAGAATCTGCCGTGGAGACCAAAAGGGCCACGATGCTGATTCTGCTGTTACTAACAAGAGAATCCATCGAACCGCTGGCGAAAAGTGTCGGAAGCCGATGCTGCAGACCATCTAGCATCGGAAACAAGACATGCGAAGTAGAGGAAGATCCTATGGAGTCCTCGAGCGATGTGGAAAGTATAGAGCAAGGTGAGTGTTCTTCCGGGTCTGAGCTTGCTGCCAGACTCTCAAACTTGTATACTGAGAGAGAGCTTTTAAGCGACCCTCAGGAAGACGCAGATACAACATTTATTAATGCGTCTTCTACAAATTAACCTTCATCACAGCAAACTAGTTTCAGAAGCCCTAATTAACCGCGTGGCAATAGAACAGCCTGAGTTTGTCCTCATTCAGGAGCCATGGCTTAATGGAGGGCGTATTTGCGGACTGAGGACACTGAGCTATAGGTTATTTGTGGCAAAGAAAAACCTCAACGTTTTTATATTACATCATTACAGCACCAACGACAAAGAAACAGAAAGCTGGGAGACGAGCACGAGTTATCGGCTGGTGTTGTGCTACATGCGAGAATAAGCTGGTGAAACATCTGATGGTAAAAGAGATGGTACGGGATAGCGAGGCATCCAAGTGCATGATTATACTTGGATGCGACTCAAACGCGCATCATACAGTTGGGGCAGCACAGATGTCAACGACAGAAAAGAGATTGTCTCTATAATTACCTACTAGGCACTAAGCTACTGCTGTGTAATAAGGGAAGTACACCAACGTTTATAACAAGAAATCGACAAGAAGTACTGGATAACACGCTTGTGTCGGAAGTACTATTTGATAGGGTAACCCAACGGAGAGTCCTCGAAGAACATTCCTTTTCGGATCACCGATATATTTAATGTATATTAGAAGAAAGGGCCGATAGAGGCATTGACTTCAGGAATCATAAGAAAACGAACTGGCAGGTGCACATGCAAGAGCTGGGAAAACGTATCCCTATGATCCCGCCATTTTAGCCCAATAGGAACTAGGATCTCGACATCCTCGTTGTCCGATTCACGGATTGGCTAGTTACCATTCTTAAGGGGGCGCTGCAATTAAACTATATCCCTTCGCTTTCAAGGAAAGTCATACAAGTCAAAAGGACTTCAGACCAATTAGTCTTTCTCCAGATAAGTTGGGTGGTTAGCAGCATGCGTATTCTAAAGGAAAATCCACAGAAACAGCGCTGACCTCTGTGGTGGCGGCGATTGAAAAATCTCTGGAAATTAAAGAATACACTCTAATTGCCTTCTTAGATATAGAAGGAGCCTTCAATAACATCCAGGCTAGGGTCATACTGAGTGCGCTTTGTATACTTTAGACATTTGAACCTCTCAGAAAATTAATTGAACAGATGCTTACGAGCAGGTCAGTAATTTCAAAGCTGGGAGCGTCAACGATGTGCAGATCCGTCCAAAGGGGTACACCCCAAGGAGGCGTGTTATCTCTACTTCTTTGGATCCTGACAACGAGTAAGTTGCTGTGGGATCTAGAAAAGAAGGGGGTACATGTTGTGGCCTACGCTGACGATGTGGCAGTATCGGTTAGAGGTAAATCCCCGAATCTCTCTCAAGCCTTATGCAAACGATCTTGGACGATATAAACCCTTGGGCTGTCTCGTGCGGATTAAACCTAAATTCTGATAAGACAGAGCTAGTACTGTTCACCAGAAGGCATAACACTCCAGTAGTTACGGAGCCATTATTAAATGGTTGCAGACTAACAATTGGAGATAGGGCAAGCTACCTAGGACTATTCTTAGACAGGAAGCTTTCATGGAAACAAAACATGGATGCTAGGGTGAAAAAAGCAGCCACAGCACTCTACACTTGTAAAAGGATGGTGGTGGTGGCATTCTAGGACACTTAGATCGTTCCCGTTTCTACCCAAATCCACGGATTTCCGCAATCCAATAGAATTGAATTGGTCCACAATATTGCCTTCCCCACCAGACAGGTGTGGGAAAAGGACGAGGTGCACAGGAATACAGGAATTAGCATCTACACGGATGGATCCAAACTAGATAATCGAGTGAGAGATGGTGTCTTCTCTGCACCTTTGGACATCAAAATCGCGCTCCGCTTACCAGACCACTGCAGTGTTTTCCAGGCGGAGATCACAGCAATCAGCAGGTGACAAAAAGCTCACGACAAGGAGCATATATATATATACGGATAGCCAAGCGGCCTTTAAATCACTCAAGTCTCCTATGGTCTCATCAAAGATAGTGAAAGAATGTCTTGATATATTAAAGGATCTAACATTCTACTTCACGATAAACCTACAATGGGTTCCAGGGCATAGTGATATCCCTGGTAACTGGGAAGCAGATGAATTAGCCAGAACAGGTACCACTTTGCAAATAACGCCTGAAAAAGAGGGTATTTTTATGCCTCTGGCAACTTGCAAACACTTAATCAGCGAACATGCTATAAATATAGCAGAGTCTCGGTGGAGACAATCAATAACCTGCTCAACCAGCAGGCTAACGTGGCAGAAATGGAGCGTGAGTCGTACAAACCGACTATTAAAATTCAAAAAGAATGACATAAGAACTCTGATAGGAGTACTATCAGGTCACTGTCTAATTGGTAGACATGTCAGCAGGCTAGGTGTACCTTACAACGACTATTGTAGAAGCTGTCAGAAAGTAGAAGAAGAGGAGACTGTAAAACATCTTCTATGCGAATGTAAAGCTCTATACATTAAAAAATTCGCAACGTCGTGGGACATTGACGACATATCAGAAGTTGCTAATATAAAATTATTTGTACTGAGGAGCTTCACCAGAAGCACGGGTTGGTTCAGAGAGGAGACGATAGAGTGAGGGAACATTAGCCCCGGTGGTATCATAATGGGCCTCTTATAGGCCTAGGTGCGTCATTAGACAGCCACTCTACCTACCTACCTACCTATCTTTGTTTGCAGAAACCTTGGTTCCTGACCGTTTGGACCGTTGATTCTACAATGTACAATGTCGGTTTAAGATTTTAGTGAAAATTATTTTTACTTGGTTGAAATATTTGAATGCGGAGAAAATTAAGACATTGTCAGCGTAAATGACATGGTCTATGTAGGGGTTTTGAGCTATGAGAATACTGAGCTGGTTGAATGCTGTAATAAATAAGGTTGCTTCAAGAGAAGATCCTTGTGGTATGCCGTTGGACAAGGGGTTAGTATTGAAGGTAGACCTACTGCAAATTTACGGTTTGAGAAAATGCCTTAATTAAGTCTAAAGTCTGTAATTGAGGTATTAGATTTGGTAGGCTTAGGGGTAGGGATAAGTATTTCTTTTTTCGAATCTTGGGGGAGTATGCCATGGCCAGACTGATTTTTAAGGAATGTGAGAGATTTTTTTGGAATGGGTAGGAAATTTTATCTGGGTTTTTCCTAACATTTTGCTGATTGTGGAATCAAATTCTTCTATTGAAAAAGGATATTCTATCAATGTAGATTCAAAACACGGGAATGGGTTGTGATATGTGTGGGAAATAGTTTTACTTAATATGGTTTTGAAACTACAGTGAAAGGTGGAACGATTATCTTTTTTATTTTAAACGCTTCCTCATTAATGTTATTATAATTATTATTTTTGTAATTGATAATGTGTCATTCAGGGTGCAATTTAAGCGTAAAAAGGATTTTTCTACAAAAGTAGGAAGGTTAATTGGCTTTGGGCAACTAGCATATGGACGAAGACTACCATATTTCTCTGCTCTGGCAAAATGTTTCAACAGAGTATAACAGTTTTGTTGTGTGTAACACTTGAAACTAATCCAGATAGATATAGAGTTAACATATGTATATTTATAAAAAAATCGTTATAGTTACACTATATATAACTCAAGAACAGCTAAACCGATTTGAAGGAAAATTAGTTCGGACGTAGCTTAGAATCAGGGACAGACGTAGCATACTTTTTATTTTTTTATGTTAAAGGTCAAAATAATTCATAAATAAAAAACTATCAGAAATGTTCTGCAAATCGTTTTCGGGCAATATTTTCACTTTTTTTTTCAAATCGTTTGCCATGTTCTGTAAACCGTTCCGTTTTCGTTTTATCGAACATCAGCGAATCGTTTTGTCGCCCTGTTTTGGTTATCGGACTCGTTACAAACAATTTTACCGTTTTGATATTAATTCAAGTTACAATTTTTGGGCGTAGTGACCGATAAGTAAACAAATTTTTTTCTTTTATTGAACAAATGAGAAATTAATATTGTTTAAAATATTTTTATTATCTTACAATACATTTAGGTTATTAAGAAATTTGTATCATTGAAACCAGCGGTAAAGAGGTGCCCAACTTATTCCAGATATTGTACGTATATAATTGAGGTCGTGTATTGAATAAATTACTCAAATTTTAGTAGGTTTCAATAAAATAAAAGAACGAGTTATGATTTTGCGATTATATTGGGCAATTACTTATCAAAATCAATATTGTAACTTATAGCTAAACAAAATCGAATCATAAAGCAGCCACGCAAATATGCTGTGTTTGCCGGTTACGCAACGACATCCAGCCGAATTCAGCAATTGCTGCTGGTGTCGTATTTCTGGTCCACAAACTTGGAACCGTTGACTTTAATTAACTTATATTATAAATGATCACGTATGTATGTACATCATGTTCATACAAATGTATTGTAACAACTGTATTTGTTATTATCGTTTATTCTTAACTAATAATATTTTTATGACAAGTTTTTGGTTTTTAAAGTTACTTTTATTTTCGTATTAGCTTATATACATATATATATTTACACAATTCACAAGCTTCGTCCTATGTCTTATGTCGTATTTCAATAGACTTAAAAAATACGACGCTTGTGAGCACCCCTTAATTGTCGTATGTCATAATATGTAATTTTCTACACTTCACCAGCTGGTAGTGAAAAATTAAGAATACAAAAATTTCACGGGAAAGTGACAAAAATAAAATTAAAGCTTTTCACATTGCAACCACAGAAACAACAAAATATTTTTATATTTCACTTTTCTTCAACTAAATTTACCTGAATATCGTGGCTTCCTTCCATATTATTAAATTTATAAAATTTATTTATTTAATTAATTTTAGAACCTTAACGTCAACAATAAAAAAAGTAAACAGATACGCTGATAGAATAGCACACTTAAAAAACATACCTCGCCGTGTTGTATTTGTCGTATTTCAATTTTGTATGGGAAACAACAACAGTGAATAATTATATATTTGATTTGATAAAAAAATCATTAATACTTGTTCTTAAAAAAATCTTCATTTTCTTTTAAGAAATTTTAATACGGCCAAAGTCTTTTTTTAAGAAGTTTTTTTTTTCTGGAACCAATCTGCCGTGTAAAAACAGAATTAGGTGTATCGTATATCTAATATTATATCTATAAAGCCACCCGGAAGTTTGAAAATCTTATATAAGGTATAAGGGAGATAGGAATAGTATGGACACGATTTTATTATTTTTTGGTAATACCACATATTGTTAACAGAAATAATAAAGAATGCTCTCTGAGTTTTATTAAGGTACCTCACATACTGTTCAAAAATGAACATGTGCGTTAGGACCACAAGGTCCCCACTTAGACGGCGTGCAGCAATAAATTTAGTTTTATTATTTTACATATTAAGATAAGAAGCATGTTAGAATATACAGTCCACTAATCCTAAATATGTATGCTCAAATATATTAAACAGGCATACATACATACATAAGCAAACACATAAACAAATATACACTCATATGATAACTTGTAGACCTAAGATATATATTATATTTAGGCAATTGATTACAAGACATACGGACATACACACACACACATGTATTGAGTTGTACTTAAAAACAACCCTATTTTACTTAGATAGTAACATTTAATTAGATAGTAAGATTTGTAAATAGTATATAAGCGATGCATTTAACAAAATAAAATTAGAATGAATAAGTTCTTAGCTCAATGAAGTCTTTTTCTGTCCCCCACCAGCGGTAAGGCAATTAGAATCTTCATTGAGTTTAATAATTGGTCTTACAAATCAATTATACACATACCATGACCAATATACGAGTACAAGGAGTAAAGTTAGCAGTATGTTTAAAAGGCTTGATATTAGGTATATGGGACTAGGGAAAGTTTCGACCCAATTTTATTAATTTTAAGCACAAAGGTTCACCGTTATTAGAAAACATGTTTACTAAATTTTATTAAGATAACTTAGATACTGACCAGTATATGCGGAATAAAGTCAACCACAAGCTCTCAAATCTTTAGATTAGGTATCAGGGGGCTAAGGGAATTATTTACCAAATTCAACATTTTTTTTTTAACAAATAGACATACCAGGATAGGACCGAATTTTAATAATATATTTTCCTTCTGGGTGACTTTATACCGTATATATCGGCCAATGTGTGAGTTATCTCAATGAAAACGAGAGAACATGCTTTACTAATAACAGTGTATCTTTTTAAAATCGGGTGAAAACTTGACCTAGCTCCTATATAACTAATATATAATATGAATTTTCGAAGATCCGGCTTCATATATATTGGTGATAGTATGTGGGGTACCTTAATGAAACCCAGGGAGCATTATATTAGGATGTGGCAAGTCAATAGTATTTAGTATTGGCAAAAATAGATAAAATCGGGTCAATACTACCCCAACTCTCATATGCTACATATAATGAATTTCGTTTTTCTAACAAGTTTTATGACCAATATGTCGTTCAGTGTGTGAGTTATATAGTTGTAAATTTAAAAATATGTTCCCGAGTAATGTCAAACGTTTGTGCAACTATCCCGTCCCTTTCTCTACTGTTGGCAGAGAAAGGGATTAAAATTAATAACGACTAAAATATATTAAAAAAAACTAAGTGAGTACATGACCTTCAATATTAATTACTAAGATTCCACATTTGATTGTTCTCCATTCGCGATTTCGTTAAAAGATGAATGTTGAATTCACCGGCTTTGATCTTTGCAAGTTGCAAAATTACCAAATATTCGGTTACACCCGAACACTTTCTTTTTTCTTAATTAGAGTTGTTCAACGGGACTAGCAGTACAAGCTTGTGGCACCGCGCTAGCATAGCCTCTGACGCATGAGCTACAAATTTACATAAGTTAATAATTATGGGAAAACACATGACTGTACACTTGATATCTAAATGAATCAAGTAAGGAAGGACTAAATTCAGGTGTAACTGAACATTTTGTACTCCCGTAAAAATAACAAATTTTAGTTGTTATATATTATTATATATATAATTAGTTATTAATAATAAATACTTTATCAATACTTTTCTTGAAAAGTATAAGAAAGTAACAAATTGTTATGGATTTACACAACGTTTTTTTATAAAAATCTTATTTTCCGTACTACAAAGTGTACTACAATAAAAGCTCAAGAAAGCATGAACCTGCATAGTGACACACATATGGTATTCAAAGGGTTCGACGCTCATGCAAAAATAAAATAAAATCTACTAAAAGAAAATAGATGTAAGGGAAATGAATCCAAGCACATTTTAGCATAAATATGGCTATTTATGTGTATTCCAAGCAATTAGTCGAGTGTTTTTCTTTTTTCCCTGATGTCTTTCCATTTTTGTTTTTTATAATCATGTTGCTACAGAGTATAATAGTTTTGTTCACTTAACGGTTGTTTGTATCACCTAAAAATATTCGATTTAGATATAGGGTTATATATTTATAAATGATTAGAATACTGAGAAGAGTTGAAATCAGAGTGAAAGTCTGTCTGTCCGTCCGTGCAAACGATAACTTGAGTAAAAACTGAGATATCTTAATTAAAAAATTTGGTACACGTGCTCCTTGGCAAAAAAAGTGAAGACGAGTTCGTAGATGGGCGTAATCAGACTACTGTCACGCCCACAAAACGCCATTAATCGAAAATCTATAAATTGCCATAACTAAGCCGCAAATTAAGATACAAGACCGTATCTTGGTACAACAAATCGCAATAATAAGGGGCACCTGTGATTTAAAAAAGTAAAAAAAGTGAGCATGGCCCCGCTCCCTAGTAGGTGAAATGTATAAATATCTCCTTAACTATATCACCCAAATTTGCACAGGACATATCATTTCCACATCTCTTGTGACAGCATAAGAATATGTGAAATCGAATGTAACCACAATAGCAACCAACGACGAACTGCACTGAACACACCCAAAGCTTTAAGCTCTTCTTTTAAAATCATATGTTTTCTGTATCTTTGACATGTAAACAAAATTAAAATTCAAAATATGCAAAAAAATTAAAAATCAGAAACATGGGAAAAAATTTTGTTGCAAAGCCATTTTTTGGAAATTAATCTTTAATATGTGAAATACACATGCACAAGCATAACAAACCAAAATACACATACATACGCACATTTAGGTAGATAAGATAGATTCCTCATTTTGTGTTTGTTTATGTTTATATCTTTCGTCGAAGATATACATGTTCACGGATATTTGAACAATTTTCCTTGGTATTTTTAATACCCATAGAGATAGAAATATATGCTTTCCCTTCCTTAGTAACAAAATATTTTAAAATTCTTTGCTAAGCAAATTTCTTGTTTTATATTTATTTTCTTTTAGTTGATTTGAATATTTTGCATCAAAACCGTGATATGGGAAGCAGGTGGGGTTATCACCCGATTTTACTCGTTTAACACTGTCGGTAGGAGCACTAAAAGGATTTGTCTTCAGTGAATTCGGTTATTATAGCTTTAGTGGTTTAGTAGATATTCACATTAAACCTATATTTTATTTACGATTTTTTTGAGGTTTCCTACTTTTTAAAGAAAAAAACACAGACAATTCTAATTTAATGGGGACTGTTTATTATTATTCGAAAAAACATTCTTTGGCATTTATTTCTTCAAGATTATCTCTTTCAAATGTTGGCCGCGGCTACGTCTCAGAGAGTCCTTCCGTTGAGTACAAATTTCGATGACTCGTTTGAGCATATTCGATCATATCGACTGGTAACTGGCGAATGACACGGGTGATATTTTGCTCCAAGACCTAAATCGAAGCAGGATTATCCGCATATCCGTTATCCCCACAGGAAAACGTCTAACAGTGTGATATTCCACGATCTTGGTGGCCAATCGATCGGCCCAAAATGTGAAATTATCTGCTCACCGAAGTGTGCTTTCAATAAAGCCATTGAAAAATCACAATGTGTGAGAAGTGGCGCCGTCTTGTCGAAGCCGAGATCACGAGCTTCAATTTCAGGCATCAAATAGTCGGTTATCATGGCGCGATAACGGTCGCCATTGACAGGGACGGTCTCGCTGGCATAATTTTAATT